CAATCAGAATCAAGCTAGGGTGATCACACCATACATGGATAGGGTGGCTACTAAGTAAAAAATATTATGTGATAAATGGCATGCCCCTTACTAAAAGTAATCTTTTAAAAGTTTCAAAAGTAATATTAAAAAAAATATTCATAGGTCAATATAATAATACCTTACTTATATTATTAATTAACTAAAACTTATTACAGTTCACTCTTAACGATCATATGTAATTACAATCTTAATCAAGAAAAACTGCATCTAACAAGACAATGAAGTAACCATCACAAAAACAGTTTATAAAAAAATAAAGTGACAAATTAGTAGTTATATACAAAAAAATTGATATCAAAATTAGAAACTATAACCTGATATTTATCTTTATAAAATCAGATATTTATAATTTTTATAGAGAACATCTATTTTTATTATAGAAATTTCTATTTCTACTATGCTTTTTATATGACTTTTAGCTACATAAACATGAAGACTATGTTATGAAAAATTATATAAATAGTAAAAATAATAAATTTTCATAGTAGAAATAGATATTCTCTTTTTATATAATATGATTATAAAGGTTTCTTCTTAGCAGAAATCTATGTTTTTTTAACTATATAATTATTATATTAAAATAATATAATTTTAATATTAAAATAATATAATTTATAAAATTATATAGTTTTTATATTAGGAAAAATTTATATATAATCGTGGCTACATGTAGCCTATACTATATAACTTATAGTATATTATATAATATATATTATATACTATAATATATATTAAATAAATACTAAGTATATAATATATATTATACTATATACTATACTATATATATTATACTATTTTAATATACTACTATATATTGTATAATCTAACAATTGTGTAACCTTACAATATATAAAACTACAATAAAATCATGTGATTCTAATAACTAACTAATCTACTACCTTATGATTTACAATACTAATAATCGCTAATCTAATCTAGAGTATCGTTCTAACCCTAACCCTAACCCTAACCCTAACCCTAACCTAAACTACTAACTAACTAACTCTAACTACCAACATGCTAATTAACCGCTAATTAATTTATTTAATAGCTCACCAATTATAACCCCTAACTAAATCTAATATATTACCCAACCAACTTTTTATCTATTAACCATAACTATCTAAAATACTCTATCTCAGATGACAAAAAAAATTATAGGAAAACTAGGAGTCAAATAACCGAGGCTAACAACTAAACTAACTAGATCTAACTCTAACTGTTCAACTTTCTGATTTTAAACTATTAACTATATCTACTAACTACTAATACTAATCTAATACAATAAATACAACTACTCAAACTATCTACTTGTTTATTCTAACCTGCTAATCACTAACTACTAACAATCTAATAAACTTGTTAATATAGCCTAAAACCTTAACCCAAACTATTAAACAACTAACTCTAACTACCAACTTGCAAATTCTAACCTGTTAAGCACTAATTAATCTATATAATAACTCACTAATTATGACCCGTTAACTACTAAATTACTAAATTTAATACATTAACTTTACATAAACTTTTGCAGAATAAAGGATATACAGTAGTTTATATGTACTACTCAATTAATTAATATTAACTACTAACTTACCAATTTTAATACTAGTTACTAATCAACTCTATTAATTGTTAATAACACATTTAATTTGCCAACACTAACGCTATTCAACTAACAGATTAATACTATTGCTAACCTAACTCTAACTATACTGGTAATTCAAATAACATATTAGTTTGGTAAGCTATACTTTTCAGTTAAAAGTAATTAGTAAGCATTAAAAGCAATAAATATTCAATTTACATGTATATACATATCTCAATAATGTATTACACTTTAAAAAGAATAAGGAATTTGATTTTTTGATGCTATTTTTCGCAGCCAGCTTTATTATGTTCAGATTTATAGCACTGCTAACATTCAGTTGGTTTTCACCCTTTAGTTTTCTGATGCTCTTTATTTTTTTGTTTTATCTCTTGTGATCCCTTGAACTGTGTTTTGCGTAGAGCACCTTTTCTTGCGTGAATAATAGGATTCTGAATTAATAATGGGTCTATATTCTCAGTATCTTAAGAATATGATTCATTATTATCATTATAATTTGAGTCAGAAGATTCACAACAGTCAGATTCATCAGAACTGCTTTGCATATTATAAGTTTTAGCTGATAATGTTCTTTTAGGGTTTCTTCAAGATGATTCTTCTTTAGAGTTTCTTCGCAATAATTTTTGATTACTCTTTGGCACGTGTTTTGTTATAAAGTCCTTCATAAAACTGTTTAACTCTTGTATTGCCGATGGTCCTACATCCAATCCCATTTGAATCGCTTTTTTTGAAAGTCCATTAGCCATTACATATTCCTTTCATTGATTTAAAGATTTATAAACACGTTCATAAGGAATATTAACAATATTATAAGGCATTTCTAGATAAGTTTTATTATATATAGTAGTATTGGTAAATTCCTGAAAACCATCAATAAACGATTGTTGACAAAGAATTGAGGTAGGTTCACGTTGTTTTTCATCTTTATACCATCGTTTAGATATAAGCATTACATAAAATTTCACATATATTGAATTTTCTAATAGGTGAAAAAAATGTCGGCATACAATATTACATCGGACAAGTCCAAGACAAATACAAAGGTGAGATTTATCATTAAAAAGAACAACATAATTTTTTTTTGTATATCTATGACGAACAAGTTCCCAAATCTCAACAATATCATCCACTTTATTTATTGAAATAAGTTCTTTTAAAAGTATTAATGGAATATCAACAGTATCTTTTGTAAAATCAGTATTAGGTAATTCAATCTCATCCTCAATTTCAAAGACACGATTCTTATCAATTTGTTGTAGAGAATACCAAATAGCTTGTGATATTTCTTGTCGTTGCATAGAGAGGGTAGCAGGAGTTAAATAGTCAACTATCCATGTATCAATAATAGGTGAAAAATCATGACTTGAATGTATAAGTGTTGAACCAGTAACAAAATGAGCCCAATTTTTATATTGTATTGTAGTAGATACATGATTAAATTGTAATTCAATTTTTTGAAATAAGTCTAAAATAGATGTATGACTATTAATAGTGCTTTTAATTATCGCATTTTGCCCTTCTACTCTTTGCGTAGTTTGAATCCCTCCTGTAAAAACACGTGAAATATAAGCCAATGCCTATCTATATTTTTGAGAACCAAGTGCTCTATTAAGATATGATTCTGAGGCAGGGTACTGTTCTAGTAGAGAGTCCCAGAGCTGATCAAATTCGATTTGAGATAGAGTATTTTAGATAGTTATGGTTAATAGATAAAAAGTTGGTTGGGTAATATATTAGATTTAGTTAGGGGT